AAAGAGTTTACAAACTGATGATTTATATATTTTTTAAATTTTGGTTTTGTACTGGGCCTTCTGAGGACTGAAAAAAATGAGTAAGGTCTGGTTTAGTTGATTTCTGAAGAAGGTCAAAGCCACAGCTTGGCCATTAGGTTAGTCAAAAGACGAGTGGCTTTGAAAATAAAGAAACAAATATTTGATCTCCTGGCGGAATTCCAATTTTTATAATGACATTTTGTCTCCTGAAAACATTCTCCTTACTTTCAGCTTAGCCTGGTAGTTGTCACATGGTGTTCTTAGCTGATGGCTGAGCTGGCTGTATTTGCACCCCGGTGGGCTTGGCAGTCCCAGGGATGTGCGAGGTGATACCTGTGTTTATGTCTCTGCTGTGCAGGGATGTGCGAGGTGATACCTGTGTTTGCCTCTGCTGTGTCCGAGGTCATGGGGAGTTCAGAGCCCTGTGCTCCTGCTGGGGCTCAGCAAAACCCTCTCCATCACGGCTGGGGAAGGTGCAGAGAGTCAGGTCTCACCTTTGTCCTTTTGCCCCAGCGATGAGTTTGTTCCCCCTGCGCCTGTAGCCCTGAGGAAGGAATGTTGTAGCAGAGAGCGCTGACAATGTGCTTTCCAAAGCTACAGTGCCTGCTGGGGCCTCCAGGGCTGTGTACCCCCTCTAGTGTAAGCTGAGCCTGTTTTGGCGTCTGGAATTTACTCTGAGATCAAAATTACTCTCTGAGTGCTAGTGGTTGCTTGCTAGGGCCATTAGAAGGATCTAAATTGCTTCTTGTGAGGAACAACTTTTTCAAGTGATGAACCCACACGGGAATGCGTTTTGAAGCAAGTTGCTTTGGCAAAAGATTTCAGATTTGGCTGCATGATATCAGTATTACAAAAGGAACGATCGGTTCTTGACGTGGTTTGTTTGTTGTCAAACACACAACAGGATTTTATCCCTGGTGAGATGGGATTCAGTGTCTGAGAATGCTTTTTGGGTCTGTAATTATGGACATGTCGAGTTGATGTTTGAACAGTGTCCTTAAGGCAGTTACAGTGTCAGTTCTGTGAGGACTAATCTGGATTAGTTTCTGATCCTGCATTCAGTTCCTTGTGTTCCTAACTTTGCTGTGTGACCAATACCATGACTTGGTGCTTTTCCACTGAAAAATGAAGCAAGGAAAATGCTTTGAGGCTGCTGTAAATAAGTGCAAGGTTAGCAGTGACCTGACAAATAGATTATTTCATAGAGTGTTCCATATAATCCTAGCTAAAGTGCTATAAGGCATACCTGGACACGCACAAATTATTAGGTCCAAGTGTTTTGGCTCTCAGCTGTTACTGCTTTGTTAACTAAGGTTATTTGAGAGTCAACCTGCAAATACAAAGTTTGTGAATTAGCCACTTGTGTGTTAGGCTGAAACAGACGTTGGGAATGTGGAACACCATCCTAGTGTGTGAATCAAAAAGCTCTTTACTGTAAACAAATGGATGCCATTTGTAAAGTGGTGTAGTAATTTTACAGGGCATGGTCACAGAATGGGATTTTATTATTCTTTCCCAAGCATCCAGAGATTTGCCTGACATTATTGGTGTGCACAGGATGCCAAGATGCACTCTAGGATTAGAACTCCTAAAAATGTGAAATTTACATTTATTGGTAAAATCCTCTTTAGTCTTATTTCCAAATGTGTCCGTTCTGTTTCAGTAGGAAATGATAGTATTGTCAACATCTGGTGATAGATGCAGTGTGTGTTATAATTCCAATTTATTCCCAGTTCTAAAATAGTGAGAGATTTGAGAGTGAGATATAACATAAGTGAGGAGGTGAGAGAGTGGGAAGGAGAGCTGTGACTCTAAGGTCTGACACTGTGTATGTTTACAGAATGAACTCTCAGCTTTTGTGGCTACAGGAGCATCAGTGAGTTTGATGCAGCAATAATCCAATAATGCAAGTTGCTCGAGTTGTGCCTGGGAAGGAAATGGAAGGACAAAACATATGGAGGTGCCGCAGAGCTGCGCATAAACAAAACTTAGTGAGTTAAGGAGAACAACTAGGAAAAGAGTACTATAGGAAGCACAGTAAAAATTTCAGCAGTGGGTTTTATTGTCTTTTATAGGCAGGGTTTGACTCTAGGTGGGTTGCAGCACGCGGCTTGGTTCCTGACCGGCCGTCTGGGATCCAGAGTGACTCGTGGCTGGAGCTGCTGGTGAAGATGCCCTGGGCTGTCCCTCAGGCTGGGTTGTCATGCGACTGCCTGTCTGTGCCTGCTGTACAGGTGAGAGGATGTTCTGCACAGCAAGTGTAGACAGGCAGACACATGACAACTCCGTCCAGCCAGTCCCTTGGAGCCATCGCCGCTGCTGTGCAACACTTTGTACCATTCCGGTTTGGGGGGGCTTAGTTAGGGGGGAACACACATAACAGAATGGAGCTTTCAAACATTGGGAGCTGTAGGACAAGAACAGAACTTGATTTTATTCAGAAAAGAAGCATTTTCGGTTACATGAATTATCATCACGCTGACACATATCGGGGTGAGATTTCAACAAACTGGTCACACCGATACATTGGAAAAGCCAAAAAGAACTGAAGGCATGGTTTATTTTATATGCAATTCATACAGGGTTTTGCCTGCACACTATACTCACACATAGTAATTTAACCAGATGTTTTTCCTCCTCTTGGAAGCACAAAAATACTGAAGTTCAAGATAAAGGATATGTTTATACAGTGCATATTTTCTAGGAGCAGATAAGTACAATAATCTGGCATGTTAAAAATAAAAATCTTTCTGTATAAATGGAGGCAACCACTTGCACGTTAACCCTGTTATAGGGAATGTGCTAGAAAGAAAACTGGTTGCATTTTAGATCAGTTTTGCTAATATGTGAGAACTATACGTGTGTGATATTTCTTTTAGTCTTTTGCTTTTCATATTATTTCACTTCGGCTTTCTCTCAAAATCTGTCCCTTCTAAGAAAATAAATTAACCTCACAAAACTTCAGTAAGATTTTTCGGTCAAATATACACTACACTATAGATGAAAAGCATGGAAATAGCATCATTTCACATCACAAGATGTGGCATTCTGCTGAATTTCCTGTGTGCAGAATGCACACAGTGACCGGAATCCAACTCTGCAGTGGCATTTGCAACATCACTGGGGTGTTGTTTCAAAAGGTATAAACCACACTGGAACCTTAAAAGGGGGAAAGAATAATTGTATTAATTTTCTATACAGATGAAGTGATTCTGGTTTATAATGGTGTCCTTGAATCTCAGTTGCTCACTAGTGCCACCAGAGGTAAGCAACAAACTTGAGTTTTCAAATACTTCTCAAACACATCTCACACAGAATAGCAACCAAGCAATTTTCAGTTCCAGCCTGAAAAGTGATTATAAAAGGGCTGAATTTACCAAGAGGCTAAAGGTGGAGATAGTGTTGAGGTTTTAAATGAGGCTAATAATAAATGAATATGTAATTATTCATGTGATCTGACTCTAATCATTATTTGGACATAAAGGAAAAAATCTACAGTTTAGTTAATATACAAGTGGAGTGTGCAAGTGAAGTTTATGATTAAAATTAAGTTTATCTTTAATAAAATTTTCCTCGAACCTAACAAGGTGGAATAAGATGTCTTAAAAAAAATGAATCAAGCACAAAACATGGCTAGTTGAGACATGAAAAAATTCCAGTACATTAAATAGTTTTGCTTTGTCCTTTTCTAATATACTTAAACTTTTGCAGCTCTAAGTCAATTTTAAGAGTATGCTTTAAGCTGACAAGTCTTCCTACCTGCTTGACCATTTTGAAGAAAAAGTGGCAAATTAGAAGTATTTTTCAAATAAATATAATGCACTGATTGTTTCACAGATTTCATCAGATTTAACTGCTGCTTTTAGTGGCTAAAAAAATCAAATATCTTTAGTCTGCAAGAAAATTAAATCTCCTTTTCTGTGTTATGGATCCTTCATGAATTAGCAAAGAATTGTGCATTAAAATTCATTGGCAACCTATAGTATAAAAGGCTGGAAGAACAAAAGTATGCATTTTATATAACAGATTTTTTGGTAACAGCTCTCAGGGAAGTTGTGCTGGGAGTAAAAGTCGTAAGGGGAAAGTTTGTGCGCTCTTTCTAATCACTACACACAGAGAGAATTCATCAAAAAATCAGCAAAGAGCTTTGCATCTTGATCAGAGGCAAATTTATTTTCCCTTCACTTAATTCATTGGGTGCTGCTAATAACTATCTAGTTATTTCCACTTGATTCTTATTTAAAAACTGGAATTCCTTGAAGCTACAGTTATCTTGCTAAAAGGGCTGAACTTTTTTTTCTGTGCTGTGTCTGGTTGACTCATTGAGTCAGTCAAGGACTTGAGAATATTTTAGAACACTCTTAAAAAAACCAAAACCTAATGATTGCCAAAAATATATATATACAGAAATCTCTGTTAAGGCTCTGCCTTCAAATCTTGGTACCTTGAAGCTGAGTTGAGAATTGTATTCCCTCCAACAGTGATCAGGACTTTTTATTTAAGGGAAGGTTGTTATTTTTAGATACTGCTTTGCAATGCTGCGTAAAATGCAGGACAGAAGTACAGTAGCATTATTCAGGACAGTTTCATTCTTAACTCTGGCATTTCCTGTCTTTTTGTAGGTTTAAGCCTGACCCTTAATAGTATTTGAATTAAGAATTTTTATTTTTTTTTAAAAATGAAGTACAGTTGAGGAAGCAAAGCCTTTTACAAGTAAAACCAAAGTTGTGCTCTTGATTAAAATTTACTATTTAAAAAAAGAACTCCAACACACTAAGGATTTAGGGTTTTTCATTTTCCCATCTGCTGAACAGATTTTGATTGAGAGATGAGAATAATTCAGCATTCTGTGTTGAAGCCTGGAATTTTCATGCAAGTATTTTGCTATTTTGGTTATAATATTTTCCATGTAACAATGATACTTGGGTGGTCTGGAGCGCGGTGATAGTGCAGGAAGGGGGGCAAGGAGCGTGGGGAGGGGAGCAGTGTCCCCAGCCCTCTGAAAATACAGATGCATTAAATAGCACTGGGAACAGCAACACAGAGGACAACATGCAGCTTAATGACAAGGCAGAAAAATGTCAAATGACATGGCATTTTTTTTAAAATAACTAGTTCTTTTTGCCTTTGGATGCTTATTTGATCTATATTTATTTCTGTAAGCTTAACTGACTTTTCCCCCACCCTTCTTTCTTTTTTCCTTTTTTTGTTTTTTAAACATTAAAGGAATAGCTAGAGAAGCTTTGAAATATTTTCTTCCCTATTTAATTTTGTTGAGTGCACAGAAAAAAAAAATTTAAAATACACTCCTTAGAGGTGCATGAAAGTCCACTCTATTGAAACACTCACCTATTTAAATGCTCATAGTAGCTTTAATCTGCCTTTCCTGGTTTTGTGCATTTTATGGTGGTAATATCTATCATTTAGTCCATCCAACAGCCTTAAGCATTGGTATCATCCTGGTTTTAGAGAACTCTCACCCTGATTTAGAATACATTGGGTCCTGCTAAATTTTTTAGCCATTGAAAAAAGTAATATTTGGGGGTGTTGTTTTTTTTTTTCTCTAGAAATATTTATACCCAGTGATCTGTGTTTGTTGCTATGCATAGTTCAAACCTCTTGTTTAATTACGATGGAAATCTCTGTGACTATGATCCACTAGAACTCGTTTTGACTAAAACAGTGCTGTTTTAAGAAGCACAGAATCACTTAATTGACTTTGAAAATGTTTTGATTACTGAGCCGAAGTTGATATACTTCCTTATTCATTGTTAACAATACAGGCTTTGTTTCCCTATCTGTTGCTTTGCACACTGCTTTCCCCCCCCCTTTCCAAGCCCCATGCCAAGGGCCTCCTCGATCGCAGCCTAACAGTCTAAAAATGTAACTTTGAAGAGTCATGGGTGTATGGGAGGGGAATCACTTCCTAAATTCAGAAAGGTCATTTAAAATAAAGATTAATGCAAATAGTGGAGCAGAGATAAGAGCAACACTAGTTCCATATGTTTTCAGTGTCCTTGCTTATTTAGCAAAAGTTAGCCCAGGCTGTCTGCAGCACTGTTTGCATGGAGAGCCTATTATTCCCGGGATAACAGTACTTCCTTTCTTAATTTCTGGATCAGAATAATGATAAAAAATTTTGCAAGTAAGCGTTATATATAAAAAAAAAAACCCTATTTGCAAAGGATCACGTCCTCCTCAAAAGCAAAACTGAGCGAGTTTCTTAACGCGATTTGGAAACATTTTTCTACCGCTTAAGCGAAATCCAAGTCAGAAAACTTTTCAGATTTGCTGTGCCTCAAACAGCCATGAGAGATCGAGAAATCTTAGTGCAAGTCTGAATCCAGTTCCTTTCCTTTCATTTCTTCCTGTCGCTTCAGATTTTCTCTTAACAGCTACATTTAACTGTGTGTTGTAACTTCACTTTCAAGCAGAATGAGGATGAAAATTCCATCTACTCCTCCACTACAATGGATGAAACCTCATGGATTTCATCCTAAAGATAATCTTCCACGCAATAAAGGGAGAGAGGATGAATTACTTACAGGTGTGTGTGTATATATAGATTAGAGTTCTTTTAGTCAAAACACACAAGCTTTGCTGGGAGGCACAGGGGAATGGCAGTGCTAGTCCTTGCTTTGTAGGCTTTAGGGCACCAAGGCAGCACAGGCACCGGCACACGAACGCTCCGCGCCCAGCTCTCCCCAACAGCTCCTCTATTGATTACTGAAGGAGCAATCAAAGAGCTAATCATAACACACATATCTAAAAAACCCAAGCACAGCATCAAGGCTGTCTAAAATACAACACACATTCTGCAGAATTGGCTGGTTATAATACTAATGGCTGCATATCGATGCTAATTCTCCTTATGGTCTAGCTATAACAGCAATAACGAGCACCATATAGATGGGATTTTTTTTTCCCCCTGGTTGCAGTAGTTTGTTCCTAGTGTTAACTTTAGGGGAGCTGACTCTGGAGCTCGGCTGGTATCGGATTGCAGCCCAGACTTTTTGTATTATTTTGTCCGTGGGGATTTCATTCAGCCTGAGGGGGTTTTTTTTCCCCCTATCAGGACAGCTGGAAATTCACCAAAGCAAACTTCTGCATTCGTTTACAAATTCCATTTTTATCAGTGGGATTCAGGATAAAGTAACTTTATCATTTTGAATGTTAGGAGAATTATCAGCGGTTCAAAGTATACAAGAGAGCGGCAACAATCAATCGGTGCTGA